TGAAAGGACATATGATCTCAAAAAAAGTGATTCGTTTTATGGATGAATACCAGATGCAGGTCTCCAGGCTACATTGCCAGCATGGTTGTAATGATTTGCAGGTTGAAAAATATTAGATAAATCAAACACAACACTGCTTGGTAGCGCAGCTGGGAGAGGGCGTCCCTCCCTATACCGCTCCATCAAATATAGTGCGACACAAAACTCCCTGAGAGAAAGCATGCTATCATTATCCTGATCGGATAAGTCCCACACCTGCTTCAAAACCTCTGACAGATGCAAACAATAGCATACAGTTAAAGAGTGAGGGAACTAAATGCTCGTAGAAGACAAGGAAGCGCATTATACGAGTTTAAAAAAATAATGAAATTTCATATCCAATTACAATAGTAATGTTCCCTTGCAAGACAATGCGGCAGATATGTTTTCAAACCATCAATATAGACCGCACATTCAGACATGATACCATTTTAAAGTTTCTATGAATGTTCCCAAGTCACAAATAGCTGTGGCAAAGCTTCTCACAAAAAACTTATATATTAATGATCTAGCCTGTTATAATCAGGAAGTCTGAACTAAATGCCACCAACTAAATATTGTGAGTCAGCCACCACCCAGACGAGGGAAATTAAACAACTTTAACTCAGAGATAGGGCAATGCAAGTTTTACAAAGAAGCATCAGTTGCAGATACAAGCTAACATAGAAGAAGAAACTGTGCCTTATAAATAACAAGACAAAAGATAAATTCAACAAAAATAGCCCCACCTCTTGGTAGTCCCCATTTTAGAAATAGGTCGCGCGCTTGTTCACCAGTGATTTTCCCATCTCTGTCTGTGTCTACTTTCACAAAGATATTGGAGTACTTCTGAGCATCAGTTTGAGTCATCCTAGGCCATTGTATATGGGACTGACTAGAAGCAGAGTTCCCAGCTCCAAGTGAAACTCCAGATGGGCTAGTCTGAGCAGAGACCTGCTGGTTTGGCTTCGCAAAAGACTGGGCCTGCTGAGGTTGGCCACTAACCTGTTGCATCATGTGTGAACTTTGCAAAGAACCAACGGTACTTGGGCTAGCTGAAGATTGGGTCCCAGCAGCTGGTACAATGGCTGATGAGACCGGTACACTGCCAGGAGGAAATGCATGTGCAGAAGGATTTTGCTTTGGTTGAGATGCTGTTGCAGAAAACACATCATCTCCAAAAGATGAATCAGGAGTAAACCCATTCCCAGATATATTTAATGACTTGGAATCCATAGCTGGTGGTCCTGATGGTCTTATCCCAAAACCTGCCTGCGGTCTAGGTGGTAGGGAAGCTGTTGGTCCTGATGTTGAGGGTATCCCCGTCGGAGCTCCACCAGTCCTTCCACCAATCCAATCATTTGACATACTCGAGTTTGGCGGATGAGGACGAACCACTGAACCTCCCCTAGGAAACCCTTGAGTGGCAACACCCTGTGGTGGTTGGGAATCAGAAGTAGATAGAGGCACTGGAGGCCTCGTTGACTTACCATCTTGAGAAAGGAAATTTTGTTGGTTCACATTCACACTTGGAGGTACTTGCGGCCCCCTGAACCCAAGGGTTTGGGAGGATGCTGGAGTAACAGCACCAACCTGAGTTGCAGGTGCTTGTGCAGCAGGATTGAACTGAGATTGTACTTGTGGTCCCCTGAACCCAAGATTTTGGGAGGATGTCGGAGTAACAGCACCGCCCTGAGTTGCAGTTGCTGCTGCAGCAGAATTATACTGAGGTGGTACTTGCGGGCCCCGGAGCCCAAGAGTTTGAGATGATGTCGGAGTAACAGCACCACCCTGCGTGGCAGGTGCTGCTGAAGCAGAATTGAACTGAGGTGCAGCCGTGGCCGTGAGATTTATTTGAGGTGCAGGTATTTTAGCTGCAGCTGGGCCATATAATGCTGCCTTCACAATTTCTGGAGTAAGTTCTCGCTTACTTTGTGCCACAGTGACAAGTCTAAGTGCATTGTAAAACTCTGCCCGACCAAGGAAACTAGTCTGCCTCTGGTCTGCAATTGCCCATATCTGCCAATGAACATAAGAAGCCAATATAAATTATAATTGATCCAAATTTCGGTTGAAAAAGATAATGACAAAGTGCTTCTAATTCATTTATAGATAACATATCATTCCCCCAGTTATTATCTTGCACAGTTTTCCTCCAACTAAACAAATATACAGCATAAAATACCATTTGTTGATATCATCATGAACCATGAACATTTCAGTTGTATGCTAAAATTCCAACTATTCAGGAGTAGTCTTGTACTATCATTGACACCTTGGCCAACCTAACAAAATCATACTGTAGGTTTGCACAACTACATTACTGTAATTTCATAAACAATTCTCAGTGACCCATCAATGCAAGGAAGTCACATTTTACAGTATCCATAAAAATAGCATTTCTAAAGTCTGCCTTCCACCTACTATCGATTGAGCACGCACACAAAAAAGTTAGTTTAATGACAAGATAACATGGCTCTCTTAACCTCACTATCACTAACAGTAGTCTATATTCTTCATCTGCTTATTTTGTACTATTTGTTCCCCTCATACTATAGAAAATTAACTAAATAAAAATCAATTCCGCATTTACAGTAATACAAAATGAAAGCGCTCAGCTCCCATCAGAGAACTAGGACATTCCGAGCTCACATTAACTGCTTCAGCCAAAAAGAGACTAAAAATTCAAAACAATCTGATTGAGAGCACATTTCCATCAACATCAAAGCCCGATCAACCACTACAATTATACATATACAATCATAAACACTATGATATAAATACAACTATAGATTGGTTTTGCGACGGCTTATACGACCAAAAAGAAGAGAGAGGAGAGAGAGTACCTGCGCAAGGACCGGTTTGGGGAGACCGGAGGCTTGGAAGAAAGCGACGGCTTCGCTGCCACTAATCCGGCCATCGCGGTCCAAATCGGCTCGTCGGAAATACGCATCGAAGAGATCCACATTCGCCGATTGGTTTTGCGCCGACGCCATCACCACTGTCGAATTGCGATTCGCCAAGATCAGACCATGAGATCAAGAGCGCCGCGTGCTCAAGCTACCGTACACCTGAGGAGCAGCGGAGCAATCAGAAAACCAAGAATTGGGAACGAAAATTCGAAGCCCTAAAATGGCATACAGAGAGATTTGCTGCCTTTCTTCTCCGATTTGGAGGAAAAAAGAAGACGACGATGGGTACACTGGCAGATGTCGATGAGTTTTTTTAAAAACGATCGTCGTAAATCAATTTTTTTTTTTCTGCTTTATGACAAAAAAGGTACTGTGTTTGTTGCGATATTTCAAAACTGCCCCTGATTTTAATCGCCCGGCCCATTAGGTACCGCTGGTTTTTAATGATGAAAAAAGATTGCAAACCAAAAATGATTTTATGATTGCCCTTGGGAAGGACATTTTCCAAGTTGCCTCTTGTCCACTTTGGTGTGTCTTGGAGGAGCTGTCATGGGTGGGCACGGTTCGGGTTGGACCGATTTTTATCTTAAATTAGAACCAATTTGGTACTATTCATCTAGTTTGGATCGGTTCGATTTTAATTAAAAAAAATTCAGAAATTGTCCAGTTCGGGTTGAACCAATTCCGATTTGGTTTCGGTCCGATTCAAGTTGAACCGGATTATAAAAATTATTTTTTAATACAATTTTCAACTGAAATTTTCTTTTTTTTGACTTGAAAATTAACAAATTATTCAATTTCATATAAAAATAAATATTCAAGTTAGAAAAGAGAGATATTTTGAACTTGAATAAATATTAGTTATTAGATTAAAAATATAGCATTAAATATAAATAAATATTAAAATTATATATTTTTAATTTGACTGATTCGATTCAGCCCAATTCAGTTTTTGAAGACATGAAATCGAATCCAAAACCAGTCCAAATCGGTCTGGTTCGATTTTTGACCGGTTGTTGACTTTTTGGTCAACTCAATTTTTTTCCGGTTTGGTTCGGTGCAGTTCGGCTCAGATTTCCGGTTCGCCGGTTTGAGTGCCCACCCCTAATTGTCATGTGTCCATGGAATTTGAGTTTTTTTGGGTTTAAACAATCAAAATGCAAATTGAGTTTCTTTTCTCATGGCAGTAAGGCATTAACTAGCTAGCAAAGCATAAAGAACACACATGAGTAAGTCATGATAAGAATCTCATAACTTTTTTTATTTAATTATTTAATTATTTAATTGTTTGTTACTTGAGTGTAGGTATTTTAAGATGGACCTTGTAAGTCATGTCAAGATGGGTGTGGAGGCATTGTAAAGTAGGATTGGATGTGGTGCTATTCGGTTTGGTTTAATCCTTCATTAACACATTGGAGCAATGAAATATCATAGTTTGGATTGACTATATATGTATCTTAACCAAACCAAACCAATCTAATAATAATTGGTTTGGTCTCTTCTAGGGGTGTAAATTGGATTGAAAAATCCAATTCCGATTGATTCTGGTTCGAAATTTTTCAAAAAAATCCGACTTCAATACCTCCGATATCCGAAAGTGCCGAAATCCGATATTTTCTATAAAATTTGGATCGAAATTGAAATGTATCTGTAAATTATGGTCCGAAAAATTCCGAACTACTCCCAATCCTTTTTTATCCTATTTTTCCAATTTCTTTTTTCATAAAATTCTGAATTTTTAATTATAATTGCTTTTTTTTATATATAGGTCTTATATATGTTTCATTCCAATACTCATAGGAGTATATTAATTTAAGACTATTGGCAAAAAATATATAGTATTGTTTTTCTCTAAATATATATATATATATATATATATAATTTTTTCCAATAGATTAATGTCATCCACCTTAGGATTAAAAAAACAAAAAAGCAAAGCAACGCAAACAATTTGCTCAAAACTTGCTTTAAACTTGGCTTGTCTTAATTGGCCTTTAGTTGGACAGCATGCCACCCGACCAAAAATACTTTTAGATTTTCACAATCCAAAAACAAAAAAGTTTTAACATGGCATTTAATTGGTGCCTGGGTCTTGGAAAACGAAACAACTCTTTCCCACGTGGACTCTATTCATTAGAGAAGAAACAAGATGAAACGAAGTGACCATTTCTCTCGAGTCCTTCTTTTTGCAATTCCACCACCACCACCACTGCTGGTTTGCCCCAAAGTCTATATTTGTGTTTGTTTTACTCACCCAATATATCTGATTTGCTGATTGTTGTGTATGTTTACTGCAGATCTATAAATGACAAACGAAGTGGATTTCAACCCCCAAGTTAACAATTAGGTCCTGAGCATGCTACCATCAAAGAAGCCAAAAAGGGCCAAGAAGTCTGTCTTAGCTGGAAACCATAAAAAATCTGAGGTATGGAATTATTTTGTTTTAGGGTTAGCTTAATCATGATTCACAAGAAAATTAAAATAAAGTGATATTCTGAAATTATTGTCTGAATATTACGAACATAGTAACTTCCGAAAATTCAAAAATGCCGAAAATTTCTTATTGGAATAGAGTTATTATATTCCGAATTTTCGGAATCGGTATTGGAATTGAAAATCAATTCCGAAACATTTCGGATTGGAATTCGGAACACCTGTTTCCGATTCTGCTTTTTGTACGATTGCCAAAACATGATATAGCCATAAGCTCTACCACTTCTTTCTAGATGTCATCCTGAGGTCTTCATAATCATACTATTATTTCTTTCTTAAGATGAAATTGCTCCTGCCCTTCTAGAAGCAATCGAGAAATCTAAAATTGCACTAGTCATTTTCTCAATAGACTATGCTTCTTCCACATGGTGTTTGAAAGAACTTGTGTATATACTTGGATGCAAGAAAAGCCATGGACAGATTGTTATACCCATTTTTTATCGCATAGATCCATCACATGTACGAAAACAGCAGGGAACTTATGCACTTGAAGATCGTCCACTTAAGCGCAGTAGGGATGAGGTGGCCAACTGGAGGGCTGCTTTGGAGGAAGCAGCCAATATGTCTGGGTTTCATTATTCCAGCAAAAAAGGGTAACTAACTCTCTAATTTGTATCAATTTCTACTTTTTATTATTTGATTCATACTGTACTCATTCTATTGTTTGTCTTTCATAACGATATTTGCCAGGACAGAGGCCGATTTTGTTGAGAAAGTTGTTCAAGATGTTTTGACCAAATTGAATCGCGAATCGTCAAGTGATTTAAAGGGTCTGGTTGGAATTGAAAAGAAAATTGAGAATGGCATTTAATTGGTGCCTGGGTCTTGGAAAACGAAACAACTCTTTCCCACGTGGACTCTATTCATTAGAGAAGAAACAAGATGAAACGAAGTGACCATTTCTCTCGAGTCCTTCTTTTTGCAATTCCACCACCACCACCACTGCTGGTTTGCCCCAAAGTCTATATTTGTGTTTGTTTTACTCACCCAATATATCTGATTTGCTGATTGTTGTGTATGTTTACTGCAGATCTATAAATGACAAACGAAGTGGATTTCAACCCTCAAGTTAACAATTAGGTCCTGAGCATGCTACCATCAAAGAAGCCAAAAAGGGCCAAGAAGTCTGTCTTAGCTGGAAACCATAAAAAATCTGAGGTATGGAATTATTTTGTTTTAGGGTTAGCTTAATCATGATTCACAAGAAAATTAAAATAAAGTGATATTCTGAAATTATTGTCTGAATATTACGAACATAGTAACTTCCGAAAATTCAAAAATGCCGAAAATTTCTTATTGGAATAGAGTTATTATATTCCGAATTTTCGGAATCGGTATTGGAATTGAAAATCAATTCCGAAACATTTCGGATTGGAATTCGGAACACCTGTTTCCGATTCTGCTTTTTGTACGATTGCCAAAACATGATATAGCCATAAGCTCTACCACTTCTTTCTAGATGTCATCCTGAGGTCTTCATAATCATACTATTATTTCTTTCTTAATATTTGCTGATAAGGCGATTAATATCTCTGCAGCTTCTTTCTTGATCTGGAGGTACTGTCTCTAACTTAAGTATTAGCTCTCTTATACTTATTTGTGGAGATTTTTTGGACCTAGTGTTATTTGCATATTTTATGAATATATACTTGTAGGTTTGCAGGTTTTGGATATGGATTCTTCTTCTTCTTCTTCTTCTCTTCCTGCTCCCCTTCAAACAAAGTACGATGTGTTTCTTAGTTTCAGAGGTGAAGACACACGCGATCCTTTTACCAGCCATCTTCACGCGGCTTTACGTCGGAAGAACATTGACACCTACATAGATAACAGGCTCGAGAGAGGAGATGAAATTGCTCCTGCCCTTCTAGAAGCAATCGAGAAATCTAAAATTGCACTAGTCATTTTCTCAATAGACTATGCTTCTTCCACATGGTGTTTGAAAGAACTTGTGTATATACTTGGATGCAAGAAAAGCCATGGACAGATTGTTATACCCATTTTTTATCGCATAGATCCATCACATGTACGAAAACAGCAGGGAACTTATGCACTTGAAGATCGTCCACTTAAGCGCAGTAGGGATGAGGTGGCCAACTGGAGGGCTGCTTTGGAGGAAGCAGCCAATATGTCTGGGTTTCATTATTCCAGCAAAAAAGGGTAACTAACTCTCTAATTTGTATCAATTTCTACTTTTTATTATTTGATTCATACTGTACTCATTCTATTGTTTGTCTTTCAAATTGAGTTGTTATTATGCTTGGATTCACCAGGTGTTTGCTGTGTAGGTATTTGGGGCATGGGTGGTATTGGCAAGACCACCCTTGCTGATGCTGTATTTCACAGGCAATCCTCTAAATTTGAAGTTCGTTGTTTTCTTGCAAATGTCAGGGAGAACTCAGAAAAAACGGATGGACTAAATGTCTTGCGAAATACACTTGTTCGTGAATTATTAAAGGATGAACGTGTAAATATCAACACTCCGTCTATACCACCTCATATTCAAGATAGGCTCAGGCGTACAAAGGCGCTCATTGTTCTTGATGATGTGAATGCTCGAGAACAACTAGAAGTTCTTGTTGGCGATCATGATCGATTTTGCCAAGGAAGTCGAATCATTATAACTGCTAGAGATAAAGGCCTACTTGAGCAAAAAGTTGACCCTGAAAAGATATACGATGTTGAGGGATTAGGTTCTGATGACGCTCTTAGGCTCTTTCATTCCCATGCTTTTGGAAATAAGTCTCCAACAACAGATCATCCTGAGTTGTCAAGAGAGGTGGTGGATTATATTAAGGGCATTCCATTAGCTCTTAAAGTTATGGGGTCCTTATTCCATCGTTGCAAGAGCAAAAAAGAGTGGGAAGCGAAATGGAACAAATTGAAACGAGTTCAAATCGGAGAAATCCAGAAAGTGTTGAGAGTAAGTTACGATGGATTAGATGACATTGAGAAGGAGATATTTCTTGATATAGCTTGTTTTTATAAAGGCTATAAGAGGAGAGATGTAGAAAGAATGTTAGATTGTTGTGATTTCTTTGGGGAAGAGGGAATCAATGATCTTATTGATAGGTCTCTCATATCAATTTCCAAATTGAACTGCATAGAGATGCATGATTTGGTGCAAGAAATGGGTAAGGCAATTGTTTGCGAACAACCTATTGAAGAACGCAGTAGGTTGTTCATTGCAGAGGATGTCTATCAAGTATTGACAAATAACCAGGTACATAGTAATATTCACATTTACAATAAACAAGTCAGATTATTCCTACAAATGTAATTTTGTATATTATATTTAAATTTATATTTTGCTCTTGATTGTCAGAGAGATGGACATGTGCAAGCAATATCCCTTGACTTGTATAAGATTCGACAGCTACACTTGGAGTTGGAACATGCAAACTTCGAAAATATGTATCAACTGAGATTCCTACGTGTCAATTCTATTCCTGCATCAATTGTTTCTCTTGATCTTCCCAATTCTCTTAGATTTCTTGAATGGGAATATTATCCTTTGAAATCTTTGCCATCAAAATTTTCTGCTCAAAACCTTGTTTTCCTTCATACGCGATCCAACGAAGTTGGGGCGCAACTTTGGAATGAATACCAGGTATATTATATATGCTTATTTTAGTTTTTGTATAACATGTGGCTTAGAAAGTAATAATCTGCAAGCTAAGTTATTAATTATTGTTTAATTTTTTACAGAGTCCTATGAACTTAAAATGGATCAATCTTGCTTTCTCCAAACATCTAACTGAAGTCCCAAATCTCTCTCGGAGTCTAAATATTGAGCATATAGATCTGCCTGGCTGTGGAAGGTTGGTTGAAATTCCTTCGTATTTTCAACATCTTGGCAAGCTTACTTATCTTAACCTTGGGAACTGCAACAATCTCAAAAATCTTCCCGAGATGCCATGCAATCTTGAATTTTTAAATTTGTCTACGACAGCAATAGAGGAATTGCCTTCATCAGTTTGGTCTCACGAAAAAATATCTCACTTAGATATTACATATTGTGAACACCTTAAGAGTCTTCCAAGCAACAGTTGTAAGCTGAAACTCTCGGGTTCTCTCAGTCTAAATGGCTGCGACTCTCTTTGCGAGTTTTGGGAGCTTCCCAGGGATACAACAGTGCTAGAGTTAAGTTGGACACCAATAAAAGAATTGAGGAATGAATCAATAGAGTCTGTTGTTGGTCTCACTGCAATTAAACTGATCTTTTGCAAAAGCCTTGTGAGTCTCCCAACGAACATTTGGAAGTTGAAATATCTGGAGAGCCTTGATCTCAGTAGTTGCTCTAACTTTCAACACTTACCAGAAATCTCGGAGGCTATGGAACATCTGGAGTTTCTAAATTTATCATTTACAAAGGTTAAAGAGGTACCCCCATCAATTGGAAATCTAGTTGCGCTTCGAAAATTACACCTGGCTCAGTGCAGTATACAAGAAATCCCTGATGACCTCTTTTGCTTAACCTCATTACAAGAGTTAAATCTGTGTGGGTCCGAAATTAAGAGCATACCTGCAAGCATCAAACAAGCTGTTCAGCTGTCTCGCCTATACCTCGTGGGTTGTGAGAGCCTTGAATCTTTACCAGAGCTCCCCTCATTGCTGCGATGTCTTGAAGCAGGTGGTTGCACGTCACTGAAGACAGTGTCAAGTTCAAGCACTACAATCACACAAGGTTGGGAAGAACATATATTTTCTAGAGGGCTTCGTGAGAAACATATATTTTCTAATTGCCCAAAGTTGGATGAGAATGCACGAAGCAACATAATGGCTGATGCACAGCTCAGAATTATGCGAATGGCAACTGCATCGTCAAAGTTTAAAGAAGACAAAATTGAACAACCATCATATGATTCAGATAATAGCTACTATGAGGTCTCTCTCTCTCTCTCTCTCTCTCTCTCTCTCTCTCTCTCTTCTGTTGAAGAAGTTGCTGTTTGTTTTTCACGACTTTAATAACTATGATGTCCATATCCATGGTACAGGAATCTTTACGCACGAGATCTTTTGTTGCCATTTGTTGTCCTGGGAATGAAATTCCAAATTGGTTCAGCCATAAGAGTGAGGGATGTTCAATAAAGATTGAGCTTCCTCGTGATTGGTTTAGCTCAGATTTCTTGGGTTTCGCTCTATCTCTTGTTGTTGCTGCTACTCTAGGTTATATGGAGTTTGAATGCAAGTACAACTTCAAAACTAGTAATGGTGAAAGCCATGAATTCAACAATCTCTGTTATATTGAGGCTCCGCACCCTCAATATGACAGAGATTCACATGATGTGTTTGTGTGGTGGCATAATAATGTCTTTGAAGAAGTTGTAGAGGGAGCTCAAAGCCTCGCTGCATTTTACAAACTTGTTACTGAGGTCAATGTTCACTTCACCGTACTGACTGGTCTTCGTAAACCCGTTCCGGTGGAAAAGTGTGGGATATGTATGTTGTATGGCAAAGATGTTGAGATGATAAAGCAGAGGGCTTTGTAGATCAAGCCGATATCCCTAAATTCAAAATTTCTTTTTATTTGAGCTGTTTGCAAGACTTGTGGCTGAGGATGCTTTTGAGTTTGTTAGGCTTAGGGGTGTCTTTCTTGTTTTAACCCTTGGCCCTCTCCATCGCCAAGCTTTTTGGCTGAGGATGCTTTTGAGTTTAGTAATTTTCTTCATTGAATTCAAGTATTAAATTGTTAATAGTGTCATTCAAGTAATTATTATCAGTCCAGCCTATACATAAGTATGATCTAAATAGTCTGTGCTTGCTGAAACTTAAAATTTCTCACTAGATATTATGAGACTGGGGGCATAAAAGAGTGTAGATATTTTTGGAAACTCAGATCTATAATACATTGGCCTCTTGGTCTTGTAGAGCAATGGCCTCTCAATTAGTGCAAAAAGAAAGTCAATGAAAGATTGGAATTTCTGGGTCAAATACATATAATAAAATTGCGAGTATGAAATTAGTTGTAAACATGTTACAAATGCATGAATATTTGAATTTATTTGATACATGTGATTTGCGGTTTTTTTTCTTTGTTTTTCTATTTATGAGATTGGTGATTTACAGTATAATTTTTTGTAACGATAAAGAAATAAGGTATGGGCATTTTATCCTTTACCAAAATTAAAAGCATCTCACCTTACATTTGTCGGAAAGGCTAGAATGAGGAGGTTGAGTGAGGAGGTTATTGTATCCCCTTTCCTCCTTGCTTTCTTATCTTCCCCATGGATGCCGACAAACACCATGCCTAATGGTCAATGGCAAAGTGATGATGGTACTTGATCATTTCAGTATTCCTAAATAATTTAAGGTAAATGATTTTCGCATTCCCGTTTTATCCACTTACATTTCTTTTTGTTTAGAAAAATGGAGTGTAAGTGGATAAAAAAGGAGTGGGAAAATCAATCCCCTAATTTAAGACTGAGAGATGTCAACGAATTTTTTTTTTAAACGATCGTCGTTAATCAATTTATTTATTTTTTCTGCTTTATGACAAAAAAGGTACTGTGTTTGTTGCGATATTTCAAAACTGCCACTAGTTTTAATAGCCCGCCAATTAGAGCACTTCCACCTATTTGCCATGACAAACAAAGGGCAATTACTATTCACTTAAATATTTTTATTTATTTATACGTAAACGATTAATTTTGATAGGATTTAAAGTTTTGGTGTGAAAAATAAAAAATATGGCTAGGTATTAACTCAGTTGTCTGATTATGCTATAATCAGACAGTTCAACATCCACTGTTTTTTTTTCAGACCCAAAAAAAAAATTTAATTTAAACTTTAAATTAGAGGTTTCAATTCTATATTGTACAAATTAGAGGAGGAAAGAACAATGAACTGTCTGATGGTAGTAAACTCACCTCTTGGGTTGTCCATGTGCGAGGGGCAGCAAATGTGAGAAGCATCCCGTTGACTTTCTCATTTCTTAAATCTAGAAAGGTCAGGCTAGCTACATCCTCATACAAAATGTATTCAATCAATCAAGGAAACAATCTAGCATAGTCAACCTGGGTGTCCATGTACGCAATTCTTGTGGGGGCATCTGTTCACCCACAAGAGTAAGTAATAAGAAGATATTGGTTATGCCAGTAACAATATCATAAAAGACGAAGTCCAAAGTTCAGTTTGGGTGACGCTTACTTTCATGAATCCACATAAACGAATTATAACATGATTGAGTCCAGAATCCTGGAGAAACTTTTCAGTGCAATACTTGATGATCTCCATAAGTGGAGTTTCAGGATGCTTGTCACATTGTATAAGAGCAAATTTCCCTTCCCAATCTACCTAACCTAAGCATAAAAATACTGGATACATTACCAAGTCTGGTAATCGTTTCTGCAACGAATAAAACAGATTTCATAATCGCCGCCGGCAAACTTCAAATGGAGTATGTATACAAGAATCTCTCAACAACTTTGTAGATTCAGTGGGACCATTTATTGGAAGTTTAGACCTTTTGTTCTAAAATTTTCAGTTTCTTGATTGGACAAGAACAAACATAAGCACACAACTTATTGCTGAAAAGAAAGAACACAGAAGCAAGTCCATATGACAATGTCACAACACTGTAAGCAAGTAGGAAGGGAACAGTAGACAATTGCACGAATTGCTCATCCTATGATATCAATGGTAGCTTCAATTTTAAGTCTTCACCCATCCCATCCCATGTACCAAAAATAATTGGGTTCTTTGTAATATAGAAAAGTGTATAGTGGGTAATGGAATCCTGCAAGAAGAGTCCAACGATGCCCTGAGAAGTGAAAAATAAAAAACAAGGGCAAACATATATAAGAACACAACTTATTGCTGAAAAGAAAGAAAGCAGAACCAAAAGCAAGTCCATATGGCAATGTAATTTTGTAAAGCAAGTAGGAAAGGAGCAGTAGACAATGATATCCATTGATCCAATTTAATGAACTATTTGCTCATCCTATGATCAATGGTAGCTTCAAAAGATGATCTACAGTTGGAAATTAATTTTTAGGCTGATTAATCTATTTCTTTTCATTAAAGTCATTCAAATAGGGTTTACTTAGTTACTTTTACATTTTGATTTAAATATTAGAGTGTGCTTAGATCATAGGGCATACTAAGTTAGTATTAAAATTCATTTAACAACACCCTTTTTAAAAATCTAAATTATATACCTCGACTTTTAAATTTCATTCAAATTCATAAAAAATACGGACCGAATACACCCCTAAACTTTGGGTGATTAATAAGACAAAATTTTTATTAAAAAAAAAAAAGGAAAAAGAAAAAAAAGAAGTTGTGGTGGTTATAACATGTAAATTGGGGCCATATGCATGTTCTTCCTACATGAACCCAAACGTGTAAATTGGGGCCTCTTGTGTAAACGTGTTGTCATCTAGCTTAATTACTCTGTGCAACCAACTGCTTTCTATCTTTCTAGCTTTGTGCATATACATCCAATTTGGAGATTTTGTCATCCCTCATTTCTCATTCTCGTTATATCCATGTTACACAATTTAAGCAAGAGATCTTTTGTTGCCTTTAAATGTTCGGGGTATGAGATTTGATGTCCTATTGACTGTTTTGGACTTTTTTCTGAGATTTTGGAGTTGAGTTTGTTTTAAAAAATCAATGATAGTTTTGTAATTTAAAAAAAATTAAAAGCTTTTTTGTTATGTTATAAATGACTAAGAGCCCTAAACCCTTGTTTGAATGCGTGTATGATGCATGACAGTTTCTTCGCGGAAAGTGATTGGGCTATTTCTTCTCTACTTTTTTCAAGCTTTGATGATTTTGCTGGATTGTTTTGTAACTTTGTGTGCGTATAGTCAAGTTTGAACTAGTACAATTGTTGCCTATGGGGTCAAAAGTGATAGAGTATTACAGACACTTGTACCTATGATATGGTGACAAGTGTCATATTGTGATTAGTTGAGTCTAGAGTTTTGTTATAGGTTTGTTATGAGTTAGTTAGGCTAATGAGTTACATAGTAACTGTGTTTGTAATACGATCATTATCAGAAACATAATAACAGAAAATCCTATTCTTCTTCTACAATTCTCTGAAACTATTCTTCTATTTCTTTAGTGTTTTCATGGTATCAAGAGCCACAAAGGCCAACACTTATTTTGTAACATCCCGACTCAAAAATAAGACTATTCACTAATTAATTTAATTTAAAAATGGAATTTCCAATTTTGCACTTGAAGTGGGGGCAAAAAGGGTCAATTGTTATCCGGATAGAGTTTGGAGCAACGGGTAATATTTTTAGGAAGGTTGTGCTGAGCCGAGTCCGTAGACACGCGGTAGGCTCGATTCGGACTTGAAAAAGAAGTTAATATCGAAAAATCGTTGAGGACCTAATTGAAATTATTTCAAATTATTTTGATTAAAATCAGATTTTTCATTTTCATTTTCTCATTTCTCTCTCTCTCCCCCCGACTTCTCTCTCTCTCACGCGAAACCCTCTCCCCGGCATTGTTCACCGACGGCTATTTTGGCCAGCCGCCGCTACATCCGGCCACCTCCGGCCACGAGACCAGTCAAGATCGAACCGCCACCTCCTCCTCTCTCTTCCCCGGCCAGCATAGTTCCTGGAACGGTCGGGATTCGCCGGAAAACGCAGAAAACTCGCCGGAAATTTCAGAAATTTCAACGTCTTCGTTCTCCTTCAATTCTCCACCGATTCTGACGAGTGAGGTATGATTTCTCGACTTTTTTTCGTGCTCTAGCTGCCTGTTGGTTAGGTTTCCTAAAATTTTGAGAGGTTACAGATCAAATTTCGAAGTTAGGGTTCAGCCGGATTTCAATTTGAATTTCGGGCCACTTCCGGCCACTTTTTGGCCATTACCCAAGAACAAAAGTGACTCCAAATTAGGTGTTTTACCTAGGTTAGGAGTTTGGAGCCAAGATTCTAAGATTTTCCGGTCACCTGAACAGTGACCAAGCCACCCACGCGCGGCAGCGCGTGGGGCGGCGCGTGGGCAGTCCGGCAGAGGTCACATTTTATCCTAGAATGATCCTTATGTTGTCACGAGCGCGTAGGAGTTTACGGATCTCAATTTGGATATCGTATGGACCTTGAACCAATTATACCTAATCTGTGATTTTGGGTTTGATGTGTTTGGACCGTTGGATCAAACCCAATTTCACGTATGTTGTTCCTGGTATTCGTAGGATCGTATAGGAATTCGCGGATCGTGAATCGGAGCCCCGGATGTTCCGATTCATCAACTTAAAGTTTTGACCGTCCGGTTGACCGAGTGTTTTCCGAGACTTTTACAGCGCTTGGAACCCTTAGATTGGACCTTAGGGACGTCTCGATCCTTGTAATTAATAGAAACCCGGGAAATTAGGATTTTACTTTAAGTCTCATTTTTGAAGAGTTGGATTTTTGATATCGTGTTCGTATTCTGAAATAGGTATTCCGACTCCACCTACACAGCAGGCAGGACCCTCTCAGGGTCACGCAGCGTGGGACTACTTGTGAGTGGATTTTGTTTTCAAGTAAATAGCATGGTTTTATAATGAAATTTCTGTGCATGAAGATTTAAATGGTTTTATGCAAACTCATCCTTTCGTATCCATTTATTCATATGTTGAATATGTTATGTTATAAAGTTATTTGCAATTTATATGGGTTTTGACATAATAAGTATCTTGAAGCTTATAT